GCAGGCCTGGCGGCCCCCTAGGAGGGGGCTTCTGCCCACGTTCCCCGAAACTGCCAGGGAGGCTCTGCCGGGAGTCACTGCCGCGGCTGCTGCCCCCGGGGTGACCTGGAAGCGAAACGGACCTGCACGAATTCTGGTTTCAGCCGATCGAGACTGTAGGGGACAACGCAGCGATCAAGGCTCACATCAACCACGGCAGTGTAGGACCTACCGCGAAGGTCTCCTTTTACAGAACACCTTGCCCAGTCTGTGTTCAAAGATATGGATTGATGCCGGTGGTGGCGTCGCGCGCCTGGGCTGCCCAGCTACTCGGGAGGCTGAGGCGGGAGGATCCCTGGGGCCCGGGAGGTCAAGACTGCGGTGAGCTGGGATCGCGCCCCTGCCCTCCAGTCTGGCGACAGATCAAGACCCCCGTCTCTTAAAGTGAGAATAACAAAAAGACATTGATCGCCTCCCGCGTGACTGGACGGGAGTATCCGGCGCTCCTGGGTCGAGGTGAACTGGATTACGGGTTTGTTCACCCAGCGGTGCCCTACCTCGCGCGTCCTGCGCACAGGCTGCAGGAGAACGCGCGGGCGACCGGACTGTCCAGCGCAGCCACCTACCGCCCCTGGATTCCATGCCAATGCGGGGCCATGGCGAGAGGGCAGGCGCTGGCGCCCGTGCATCCGGGAACGGTGGCAGAGGGCGGTCGGCTGGGCGTGAGCAAAGTCTCAACTTTCCGCCAGCCACGTCTGCAGGTCGCCAGCTCCGGATTTTCCTCCTGGGTCCAGGTGGCAAAACCCCGCCCCGGGTCAGTCCCGCAGCCCGCCTGGGAGTCAGCGGGCCACCTTCCGCCTGCCCAACAGCTCCCACCTCGGCTCGCCCCACCGCCAGTCCCGCCCCCACCTTTCGCCTTCCGAACCGCTCCCACTTCGCTGCGCCGCAAGCCCCGCCCCACCGTATGCCCCGCCCCACTCAGGCCCCGCCCCCTCCTTCCGCCTTCTGAACGGCTCCCACTTGGCTTCGCTCCGCCGTAAGCCCCGCCCCGCTGCGAGCCCTGCCTCCTCCTTCCGCCTTCCGAACAGCTCCCACGCCACTCCGCTCCTCCGTAAGCCCCTCCCCGCCGTTGGCCCCGCCCCACCATAGGCCCCGCCCAGTTCAGGCCCCGCCCTCTCCTTCCGTCTTCGAATAGCTGGCTCCCACCTCGCTCCGCTACGCCGTAAGCCCTGCCCCGCCCCGCTGTAAGCCACGCCCTGCAGTAGGCCCCTCCCCCTTCCTCGCTTTCTGAGTAGCTCCCAGCTCGCCCCGCTCAGCCGTAGGCCCCGCCCCGCCGTAGGTCCCGCCCCGCTCAGGTCCCACCCCCTCCTTTCCCGTCCCAGGACGCGTTGCGCGGCCCGGGCCGGAAGTCCGCGAGTTCCCGGGTGTGAGTCCGTGCCTGTCTGTGTTTCGCCACGGCGCGCGGCCCGGGAAAAGGGCTGGGGGTTCCCGGCCGAGGCGTCCCTCCTGTCTCTGCCGTCGCCCGACGGAGCCGCTTCTAGAGGAGCGCAGACCCGGCCCTTCGCAGGGCGGAGAAGATGTTGCCCCTGTCCATCAAGGACGATGAATACAAACCGCCCAAGTTCAATCTGCTCAGCAAGATCTCGGGCTGGTTTAGGTGAGGGCGGTGTGTTCGCGGGGAGGGGTGGCCCAGACCTCAGGGTGGCCGGGGTCTAGAGGGGTGTCCGGCGTCGGCGGGGAGGGCCCAGACCTCGGGGCGGCCGGGGAGACCACTCCACGAGCAAGGAGCATGCGGGCCGGGCGGGTCTTGGAGGGGGACCCCCGGGGTTTCCGACCCACTGACTCCTGCCCTTCCCTCTCGTGCCGTGCTCAGGTCCATCCTGACAGACAAGACGTCCCGGAACCTGTTTTTCTTCCTGTGCCTAAACCTCTCTTTCGCTTTTGTGGAGCTCCTCTACGGCATCTGGAGCAACTGGTAACCGAGGGGAGAGGGGTTGTGGTGGAAGCAGGGGTGGGGGGACGGAGCCCCGGTGCCACGTCGCTGCTCGCGGAAGCTCCGGGCTTACCTGTGCCACTCGCCTCTGTGCGGAGTCGCCTTCTGGTGACCACCCCAGTCCGGTTGGGCTGCCTTTCTGAAGATGTGGGGCTTGTCATGTGCAGGCCTTCTTGTCGCCACCCTCCCTTGTCCCCACCTCCGGCAGATAAGACTGACAGCCCCCTCTTCGGTTTGCCGGGTGGAGAGTCTTGCCTCTCAGACCGCACACCTTGGCTTGGCCCACTTTGTTGGAATTGGGGGAAACCTGTTTGCTGCTTCTCTGGGGGGAGTAGCATTTGAATTTCACCCTTGCCGTTCTGGGAGTGGGCTTCTGAGATGTCTGTTCAGTTGGTTATATTAGGCCTTGGAACAGGGAAGAGATTGGTGATAGAAAGGGATGTCCGGGGAAATGGCTGTCACTCTCTTCTCTCTCGAATTTGATGCTGCCACTGTCTCGAGATTTTCCTCTGGTCTAGACTGCAGTTTTTTGAAAGCTTACATGTCTCTAGTTGATGGTGTTTGGTGTCTCCTTTGAGTCCTGTCTTGAACTGCTTTAGGAAGAGGGAAATCGAGTGGAAGTCCACGGAATGAAGTTACTATTTTTCAGGTAATTGCTGTTGAACCTAAAGTCCTATGAAGTTGGTCAGCTAACAGACCATCACACTTGTGGGTGTACTGATTTTATCTTTAGATCTCACTACCTGTTCAAAAATCTGGTGAAAACCAACTCTCAGAATCTTACATCAAGCTTCAGGGCATTCTTGTATTCCCTGAAATGACCTTGGACCCTAGATTAAGAACCTGTGCTGTCTATGCTTTATTTTTTAATTATTAAATAGATTTAGTCGCTGTCCTTTGTCCATTTTCAGAGAGAATTGCTGTCTCTGATCTTTATTGAGATCAAATAGACGTTAGATAATATCTCCAGGTATTGTGATATGTATCCTTTTATGTAAAAAGTAGGCTTCTTTCAATTCAATCATTTCAATTTTATCAAAAATACTCAGTAACTGGCAGATTATGTAGGATATTGGTTCAGTCAGAACTGGAGTATAAATGGCTTATTGACACAGTGAAATCCCTGTACATGTAATAGCCATTTTGAATCCTCTGAGAATCATACATAATTTCATCTGAAGGACACCCATCATAATTGAATTTTTTAATCCCATAGTATTAATACCCTTTGATGTATAGTAGATGTTAAAAGCACTATAATCTTGTATTTGAACTTTATCATAAACATACAATATTTATAATATATTTTATATGTTTCTCTTCCTAAACTAAGTCATAGTTTTGGTGCATATGCCAATTGTATCGAGACTGTATCATAGCTTATATGTGCTGTTTTGTTGCATGTACTTTATATTGCAATACATTATATTTCACTATTGCCTTCCATTACATAAATCACCCTGTGAAATATCTTGTTCAAGGGATTCATGCTTGAAGTGCCTAAAGCACCTGTTTTATGGAAAGTTGGATGTCTAGTAACTCTTTTGATCTATAGAGATCAAAAGATTCAGCAGGGCACAAGGAAAACATCAGCAGTGGGTGACTTGTTCTTCTTACCGCTGTCAGTGTACTCTCTTTCACTGTGTTATATCTTCCAGCTAGATTTGAAATCTAGCCCTGTGTTGGTTACACTTGGATTATTTAGCAGGTAATCATCTTTGATGGATGTATATGCTAACTTCCATATCTATAAACAGGTATTTCCCAATATGCATTTTTATCAGTAATTGTGCAGTACACACCTCTTTCCATTAAGATTGGGCAGATTTAGAAATTATGTTAGTCTTTTTATAATCTGACTTTCTGTGTTTTACTTAGACATCACAATTTTTAGTTCCTTTTGCTGACTTATTAGTAATTTTTTTTATGTGACAAGATTACCCTTCTTCCTATAGGTTTAGTTAGCTTTTGAGTTCCCTGATTAAATTTCTCACCGAAACCCAATTTCTGTATCATGATCATGCTTGTGTTCAATTTCATTCTGTAAAAATAAGTTTCAAGTTGTTGAGAACATGAAATACCAATAATTTTTTTCCCCATAGGGGCTTAAAACATGAATTAAACACTCTTCTTGAATAAAGATTCATAGACTCAATTGCTCTAGTTGCAACAAATGTTAAATTGTTTTGGTTTTTCTTCAGAGTATTCATTTTAGAGAAAGAACTTCATTATAGTTGATTTATAGCTTTGATGGTGACAAAGTATCTTCAGTGGAAGAATACTTCACTATTAACAAATTTATTTTCAGTAGTATTTTTTACCAAAGCAGTTGCAATCATTTTCCCTTTAGTTGTAGAAGAAAATCAGGTAACCCTAAAGGCAATTGTCTTTGTGTTGGCAAAGTAAATATTTGTTCAAGAAATGTTGATGGCAATACCGGATATATGGTTCTACTTCCATGTATTAAGTCACAATAGATATTTGTAAAGCAATTCCTTGCTGCCATTAATCACATATTTTGCTATTAAATTAAAATTTTCATATATGTCAGTCTTTTAAAATCAGCTTTTTCCCTCTCAGAGGGCCGCATTACCAGCTTATGGTGATGCCGTTGCTTTCTTTGTAGTTTTATTTTTCACCTTGAAAACTTAGGTAAGTATTGCATTTTGCTGAGGTTTTTTGTAAGTAAGGGATTATATAGTGGAATATAGTGGAGTTGTGAGTTATTTCACTGTGGTTCATTAGCTTATTGACTTTACTAATGTCAAGGTTTTAAGGATTTTCTAATTTCTTGATAATAAATTGACAGTTAATGTTTTTCTCTTTCTTTTCACATTCTCTCTTTTCTTTTTCACATTCACATAGTGGGAACCAGCTGAAAAGGAGTTTGTGAATTACGACGATTCTCTTATCTTCAATTTGGAATTGATGTTTAACAAACAATATAAACATACTGTTAACTTAGTTACCAGTAGACCTTTTTTTAAAAATCTTTTGTTATGAAAAATCTTCAATATCTCTAAAAATACAGAGTTTACTGAACTCACGTACCCATCACCCAGCTTTAACATTTCTCAACCCATGGTGTATTTTATTCACTGTGTTGCCCGGGTCCCACCATCGGATTGTTTTAAAGCAGATACAAGATATGATTTCTTATGCTTCTCCCATCCAAGTATTAACCAGGACCAAGCCTGCTTAGCCTCTGAGATCAGACGAGATCAGGCACGTTCAGGGTGGTTTGGCTGTCGACTCATACACTTCTCTAAAAGGTAAAGGCCTCCCCCTTTTTAACATAATCCCAAACCATTGCCACCTATAAAAACCAATAATTCCTTAATATCCAGTTAGGAAGTATTCAGGTGTCTCTCCTTGTCTCATAAATTCTTGTTACATTTAGTTTCATAGGTTAGAATTCAAACAAGAGCTACACATAGTGCTTGGCTAAAATATGTCTCAAGTCTCTCTTAATTTATAGATTCTCTTTCTCTCTGTCTCTCTTTCTTTGTTTTTTGACTTGAATAGACCCTAAATAAAATTCTTTTCAATTTCCTTGCCATATTTTCTGTTCACATTTATGCTTCCATGTTCAGGTTTCTCCTCTATACTCTAAGGCATTTTCCATATTAAAATGTGTTTAAAAAGTAGTCACTTAAAAAAGTTTAAAAGTACATTTTGGAGAAACTAACAGTGCTCTTCTTTAAGCACTAAACAAGTACGCTGATTTTAGCACCTAGTGTTTTTTACTGTGATTTACTGAAGGTACGTTTGGTGTTTCAATTATATAACCTTAGATTTTCTCTATGCTGCCTTTATTTTTTAAGATGATTTATGGCATACAGTTTAATGATAATTCATAATCAGAAACATTTGTGAAGATTGAATATGAACAACAAAACTGACACTCCTTATGATCAGTGTTTTTACATGGCCCAGGTGAGGAGAGAATTAAAAGTGGACTGTTTTTCATATGAGTTTGTCTACATATTTGCAGCTTAGTGACTTTTGAGTCATGATATCAGGTTTATGGGAAAAGATCTCATTGCAGTGCTTTAAGAGGACATAATGTTCTTCCATCTCAGAAGAGGAAGGAGTTTTTCAGGTAGAGTCACTTTTTATTTAATACTAAATGTAACATTTTAATGGAAATTAAATTTACTTAACATTTAGATAAATTTTCATTTTGATGACTGTTAAAATTGCCATATTGTATCTAAACCTCTTTAGAAGGAATTTAACTGCTGTAGTAGATAAAGAGAATTTACATTTTATTTCCTATTAAGGCAATGTTTGGTGTCTGTTGAATGCATCTAAAATAAGTTTGTTGGGAAAAAAATATTTATGTACTAGTTTACTAGAGCTGACTTGTAACTACCACAGACTGGACGGCTTAACAGAAATCTATCTCAGGGTTGTGGAGGCTAGAAATCTGAGATCAAGGTGTCAGGGTTGATTCTTTCTGAAGGCTCCAGGAACAATCTGTTTCATGACCTTTCCCTAGCATCAGGTGGTTTGCTGGCAACCTTCAACATTCTCTGACTTGTAGAAGCTTTGTCTGTTCTCTGCCTTATCTTTACATGGTGGTCTCCTGTGTGTCTTCCTTCAAATTTCCCTTTTTTAGAAGGGCACAAGTCACTGAATTAAGGTTCACCTAATGACCTCATCTTAACTACTTATATCTACAGTGAACCTGTTTCTAAATAAGGTTACATTGTGAGGTACTAGGGGTTAAGTTTTCAATATGTGAATTTTGAACGGGGAAGAGCGGTACACAATTCAACCCGTGGCATAGTGTCTTACTAATATGTGTAGATCAATAAATCAGTAAATGTTTATTTGTTTGTGTTTATTTTGAATGAATACCCTGCCTTCTAAACGGATTTACAGTCATTTAAAATATAACAAGAAGGGGGACCCAAAAACAATCAGAATTATTTTTTGGAGGGTGGACCCCGTCTAGTATAGGCTTCCCCTGCTAGGTG